TTTTTGCTACAACACTCCATGTGGGGCTGGAGGTCAAAGGAGAAAATTTTTTCCATCTATTTCACTATGGGTCACCGAAGACCAGAACTCTGTAGGTACAATAGATATTAGGGAAATATATCAAAGAATTTGATATTTGGGAATCTTTCATTCTTTGTCAAATTGGAGATTTCACAAATCTTTCATATTTTATCTAATATAAATTTAAGAGTGGTTTTGGTGAGGGAGAAAATATTCTCCGGTACATTTCATTATGGGTCGCCAAAGCAGAAGAAAATCTATAGATGAATAGATATCGAGAAAATATCCCTCCAGTTTGGGTATATACACATTATTTTTGATTACATTTATTTTTTGGTAATTGTGGGAGTTATGTTCAACACGGACCCATTTTTCTACTTCAGTACATTTTACCGATTTGATGTTAAAGGAAAAAAATATTCCCATTGGGTAGAATATTTTTATTATGACGTCATGTATCCAAAATGAAGTACTCTGAACATTTTTGGGGTGCATGTGGAAATAATCACAATACAATACAATTTATATCATTTTCTTGACATTAGTAATAGCTGAAGATTTTCTCCATTGACATTGTTAGTCTAAAATGAATATTTGGGTAAAATTAGAGGCCAAATTTCAAAACACTTCATTTATTTATAAAAAAAGTAATTTTTGTTGGAATCTCACAAAAATCAACAACTTTTTGTGTGTGGGGGGAGATTTATTTTACATAGAAAACACAGGTTTCTCATCTAAAGTTCTGTTTTTGATTCTTTTTTGTTTTTGTGCTAAAAAATGGCAGTTTGTTGTTGTGTTTTTTTTTTTTCAAGAAAAAAAAATTATCTTTGTGTGGTAACTTTTTGTAATTCTTGGTTCGGTGTGGGTTAGTCAAGAAATTATTGGTTATTTAACTTACATTTTAAAAAATCTTAAATTATAAACACAATATTTTTTAATTTTTTTTTTTTCAATATTTTTTTGTTTTATGACTATAACGTCATGAAATAAATAATACACATTTTTTCTTCTTCTCCTTAATTTAATAAAATTAAAAAAAAACAACACATTTTTATTTCCACACTTTTAATACAACAAAAATCCGTTAACTTAACTTCAAGAGAAAATATCTACTTTTAAGTAATTTTATTTGTTAGTAAATGTTAATAACATTTTGTTTTTTTTGTTATATATATTTTACTTCTTTATAGATTTTTAGCACATTGGAGGACGTTTAGTTTGCAGTAAGAACCAAAAAATAATTTTTTAATGAAGAATATTTGAATAAAAAAAAAAATAAATAAATAAAAATAAAACACCAGGAAAGTTGTTGATTTTGTTAGACAATTTTAAAAATTTTCAAAAATACTTTTAATTAAACACCCTTAAGAGACATCCAACAGGGTACATGGAGTGACGATGTAGAAGATATCAGGCCTAATTTGAGTGCATTAAAAATGAATGTACTTTTGTGTCCAAATTGGGGATTTTTCAAAATGTGACCATATTTGCAGTAAGACTTCATTTTAGAGGCTTGATGTTAAAGAGAAAAAAATTCTACGTCAAATTTCACTTTGGATCTCCAAAGAAAGCATTCAATAGATATAAAGAAAAAAACCGCTCCAATTTATATATAAAAACAATATTTTTTTAACCTTTCCTAAATTGAGAGAAATTTTAAAAATTGATCTATTCCTTCTACAAAACACCATTTTGGCGAATTGAGGTCAAAGGGGAAAAAATTTTTCATCAAAATTCACTATGGGTCTGCAAACAAAACAAATCTGTAAATTAAATAGATATCAAGAAATAATCGGCCCAATTTATATATAAAAAAAATCATATTTTTGTAATTTTTTCTAAATTGAGAGAAATTTTCAAAATTGGTCTATTTCTTCTACACCGCTCCAGTTTGGCAGATTGATGTCAATGTGAAAAATATTTGTCATCAAATTTCACTAAGGGTCACCAAAGATCAGAGTTATGTAAATGCAATAGATTTCAGGATAAAATCTTAACAAAATTGGCATTTTTGGGTTTTTTTTTTCCATTGGACAAATTGGGGATTTTTCAGAATCTGTTCATATTTTTATCTAATATCTATTTTAGAGGTTTCATGTTAAAAGAGAAAATATTCTCCCTCAAATTTTATTATGGGTCACCAAAGAAAGCACATCTGTAAATTGAACAGATATGAAGAAAATATCCGCACCAATTTGGATATAAAAAACAATATTTATGATTTTTCTTAAATAGGGAAATGTTTTTGGTAATTTTTAAAATTGGTCCAGTTCATCTACAACACTCCATTTTGGCGAATTGATGTCAAAGGAGAAAATATTTTCCATCTAATTTGACTATGGGTCACCGAAGACAAGATCTCTGTAGATGCAATAGATATTCGGAAAATAGCGTAAAGAAATTGGTATTTTGTGAACTTTTCCTCTCTTTGGTCAAACTGGGGATTTTTCAAAATCTATTCATATTTCTGTCTAATACCAAATTTTAGAGGGTTGATGTTAATGGAGAAAATGTTCTCCGTTGAATTTCACTATGAGCCCCCAAAGAAAGCAAATCTGTAAATTGATTAGATATCAAGAAAAAATTGAATTTGAATGAATTTGAATATAAAAATCATATTTTTGCATTTTTTTCAAAATTGGGAGAAATTTCTAAAATTAGTCAATTTTTCTACAATACTTCATGTTGGCGGCTGGAGGCCAAAGGAGAAAATATTATTCATCTAATTTCAGTATGAGTCACCGAAGACCAGAACTCGGTAGATACAACAGATATTAGGGAAATATTGCAAAGAATTTGATATTTTTGGGGACCTTTCCTTCCTTTGGTCAAACTGGAGATTATTCAAAATCTGTTCATATTTCGGTCTAATATCTATTTTAGAGTGTTGATGTTGAGGGAAAAAATGTTCTTCGTCAAATTTCCCTATGGGTTGCCGAATAAAGCAAATCAGTAAATTGATTAGATATTAAGAAAAATCGGTTCCAATTTAGATATAAAAACCATATATTTTTGATTTTTTCAAAATTGGGAGAAATTTCTAAAATTGGTCCAATTTTGCTACAATACTCCATGTTGGCGGCTGGAGGCTAAAGGAAAAAATATTTCCCATCTAATTTCACTATAGGTCACCGAAGACCAGAACTCTGTAGATACAGTAGATAATAGGAAAATAATTAAAAGAAGTGGGTATTTTTGGGGACAATTTCCTTTCTTTGTTCAAACTGGGTATTTTTCAAAATCTCTTCATATTTCGGTTTAATATTAATTTTAGAGGCTTGATGCTAATGAAGAAAATATTCTCAGTTAAATTTCACTATGTGTCGCCAAAGAAAGCAAATATTTATATTGATTTGGTATCAAGAAAAAATCCGCTCCAATTTGGATATTAAAACAAAATTTTTGATTTTTCCTAAATTGGTAGAAATTTCCAAAATCGGTCCATTTCTTCTATAGCAATCCATGTTGGCGGATGGAGATCAAAGGAGAAAATATTTTCCATCTAATTTCACTATGGGCCACCGAAGACCAGAACTCTGTAGATACAATAGATATTAGGGAAATAGTGGAAAGAATTTGATATTTTTGGGACCCGTTAGGTCTTTTGTCAAATTGGGGATTTTTCGAAATCTGTTCATATTTCTGCCTAATACCAATTTTTGAGGGTTGATGTTAATGGGGAAAATATTTCCCGTTAAATTTCACTATGGGTCTCCAAAGAAAGCAAATATTTATATTGAATTGGTATTAAGAAAATATCGGCCCCAATTTGGATATAAAATCAATATTTACGATTTTTCCTAAATTGGGAGAAATTTCCAAAAATTAACGAATTTCTTCTACAACATTCCAAGTGGAGGTTTGGATGTCAAAGGAGAATATATTTTTCACCAAATTTGACTAAGGGTCACCGAAAACCAGAATCCCGTTGATGCAACAGACTTCAGGATAACATCGTAAAGAGATTTGGTATGGGACCTTTTCAAGCTGGGGATTTTTCAAAATCTGTCCATATATTTGTCTAATATAAATTTTAGAGTGTTGATGTTAATGAAGAAAATATTATCTGTAAAATTTCACTATGAACCGCTAAAGAAAGCAAATCTGTTAATTGATTAGATATCAAGAAAAAATCCGACTCAATTTAGGTATAAAAACCATGTATTTTTGATTTTTTCAAAATTGGGAGAAATTTCTAAAATTGGTCCATTTTTGCTACAACACTCCATGTTGGCGGCTGGAGGTCAAAGGAGAAAATATTTTCCATCTAATTTCACTATGGGTCACCGAAGACCAGAACTCTGTAGGTACAATAGATATTAGGGAAATAATATCAAAGAATTTGATATTTTTGGGAATCTTTTCATTCTTTTGTCAAATTGGAGATTTTTCAAAATCTTTTCATATTTCTATCTAATATAAATTTAAGAGTGTTTTTGTTGAGGGAGAAAATATTCTCCGGTAAATTTCATTATGGGTCGCCAAAGGCAGAAAATCTATAGATTGAATAGATATCGAGAAAATATCGCCTCCAGTTTGGGTATATAAACATTATTTTTGATTACATTTATTTTTTGGTAATTGTGGGAGTTATGTTCAACACGGACCCATTTTTCTACTTCAGTACATTTTACCGATTTGATGTTAAAGGAAAAAATATTTCCCATTTGGTGTAGAATATTTTTCTTATTGACGTCATGTATCCAAAATGAAGTACTCTGAACATTTTTTTGGTGCATGTGGAAAATAATCACAATTTACAATACAATTTATTATCATTTTTCTTGACATTAGTAATAGCTGAAGATTTTCTCCATTGACATTGTTAGTCTAAAATGAATATTTGGGTAAAATTAGAGCCAAATTTCAAAACACTTCAATTTATTTATAAAAAAATGTAATTTTTTGTTGGAATCTCACAAAAATTCAACAACTTTTTCCTTAGCGTATAATAATTTTATAAAAAAAAAATCTCATAATTCTTTTTCTGTTTTTCTTTCTTTTTGTTAAAAAAAAATATATTTTTTCTTAAATTAAAAATAATATTTAATGGGCACATATAAAGCTTTTATAACTTAAAAATCATAATTCTACAAAATATGTATCTCTACTAAATTAGTCAATAAAAATATTTATGAGCAAATTATTAACAATATATTATTTTCGTTGCTTATTGTTTAAAAAATAAAACTTAATTTGTAAGCATTAATTCAGAGAGGACTCAGCTGAGAATAAAAATACTTATTTAAATCGTATTCAAATTAAAGCTAACTATTTACACAAGCCATATAGTAAGCTATAGATTCTAAAAAACGAAGAAAATTAAAATAATTCATAAAGTTTGTTGACTCACATTTAAGATGAAGGCAAAGAAAGTGGGAAATTTTCTTAACGTAAGCTTTTTTTCTTGAAAGTAATTTTTTTTGCAATTTTTTAAGAAGTTTTTTTTATTGGCCTCGAAGACGTTCCGAAAATTCCCTTTACTTCTTCTAAAAAATAATTTGCAAATATTTTTTTTTAATATTTTTTCTTAGCACATTATATTTAATTTTACATTTAAACTTTGGCTGCACTCATAGAAAATGTCAATACAATTTTTAAAGTTATTTAAATTAGGTATTAAAAACAAAATTCAAATTTTTGAAACTCAATTTGTTGTCAGAAACACAAAATAAATGTATCTATATAAACTTTGGAGCGTATGAGTAATAAAAACACAAATGAGAGAATATAAGTCACACGCCATGTGGTCTTGGGAATTAAAAATACTTATACGCACCCCCATACCATAAGAGAAAAATGGTTATTTCGATAGCTAAATTAAATGACAAATTGAAAATTTTAAATGAAAGTGATAAATTGCCAAGTCTTGTTTCGAAAATATCGATGGGAGGAATATATTCAACTTTCATTGCTTGTGTCTGAACATTTAAAAAATTTCTATAAATTTCGAAGAGAAAATAACCTTGGACACACATTTGGTTTTATTTTCCCCAATAAATAATTTATGTAACGGAAAAAGAAACCAAATTACAAAGAAGATAGAGAATAAAAATTATTTCAAAAGATTTTCCTATATTTTCAAATTTTGCGCAAGTACTATTGGTGGCATTTTTCCGATATTTGGTCAAACACATAGACAACTTAAATATATTTCAAAAGGGGACACTTTAAACAAACAATTTCAGCTTAAGTGCTCTCAAGAATTATATAAATAACATGAAAATCAGGATTTTAGAAAATTTCCAAATTTTGGATTTTGCGCAAGTACTCTCTGACCTACTGTCCAGGGGTTTGGTTTAACTTCTCGGAAACACTGTTATATTTTTAAGGCGGGTACTTTAAGTAAAAATTTTCAATGTAAAGTTTTCTTAAATCAATTCATTGAACCATAAAAATTGCCCATTGAATGTCAAAACCTTACAATTATTCTTATGCTCTTAGGCGGATAATTCCCGGTCAAGATTTGTTGCTCCAGTTTATTAATAATGGAAAATTTTATTTCCTGTGTGTTTCTCTATCCAATACCCTTCCAAAATATGTTGAGATGTAGTCAGAACTAATAAAAATTCAATAAAATATAATTGAAATAGTCCGACTTAGGAAAAATTGCTAAATTTTGAATTTTTCGCAAGTATATTATAACCCACTGTCGGAGGTTATGGTAGCACATGTCGAAGACAAACATATATTTTTAAAGGCGATCCTTTAAGTAACCATTTGCAATTCAAAGATTTCCAAAATCAATTCATTGAACCATAAAAATAGCTCATTGCACATCGAAGCTCTTATAACTTCTCTTATCAATTTTAGGCAGATATTTCTCGGTCTAGAATTTTGCTCCAAATTATTGATATTGGGAACCTAAACTTCATATGTGTTTCTCTACCCAATACTCTTTAAAGATATGCGAAGGTGCAGGCGAAGCCAATATAAGATCGTCATAGAATATTTGCAATTAAATTTTCCAAAATTGCGCAAATACTCCAGCGGACAAATTTGATCAATTTTGCCTGTACCCGTGATTAACTTTTACAAATTTCGGGAGAGGACCCCTCATTGCATCTCAAAAATAAAGCGTTTTGCCAAAAACACAAAAAAGCCAAAAAGAAAAACAGAAATTTTAAATTTAGGAAAAACTCTGGATTTTCAATTTTTGCGCAAGTACTCTGGGATCAGTTTTCCCGGGATTTCTTTATGCACCAGTGTAACTCCACTTTAATCTTGAAGAGGACTCTTTGAGCAACCACTTCGGCCATAAACTTTTTTGAAACCCAGTTAATGAAACCTACAAAACGTCAAAAGAATGTTAAAATCTTGGAGGTCTTCGTATGGCCTTCGGTTACTAATTTCTTGGGCAATTTTTTCGCCTCAACGACTTCAAATTGACAAATGGTGGTCCAGTTGTTATTGTCTAGCCTCTGGTTCTCCAAAATATGTTAAAATTCCCCAAATCTGCATGTGAAAACTGATGGAAATACTTTACTCAAAATTGTACCGATAATTGCGGAAAATGCGCAAGTGCCACAAGTAGCATATGTTATAAGATTTATTGGCAGATATGGAGAACCCTCACAACTTTTGAAAGAGGAGATATTAAGGATTTAAATTAGGCCTAAAGTTGTAGGTAATTAATTCATTAAAACAAAAAATCTAGCATAGAAAAGTATTATTGCAGAGTTTCCTTGGGACTCTGTGCAAGTTATTTTTCGGGCAATATTGTGCGCTCCAATGAATTTATTTTGGAAAAACTGTTAACCACAATTGTTTCCTCGATCTGTGCTCTATCAGAAAATACCATAGTTTCCTAAATTATTAACAAAATCTCATATCGAATAATTAAAATAAATCATACGCAAGAGGGTAGTATGAATTCGAAGTACTTATGCGCTTTCTGAAAATGCGTAAGCAGTTTTGTGCAGAAATTTTACAAATTTTTGTTGAACTGCTAGCCAAATTACATATCCATTAATAGGGGACTAATCGAGCTAACAAATCTCCTTTAGGAGTTCTTCCGGATCAATTCACTGAAACTCAGAAAATCACTTTGAAGTTTTGTGAGTATAATGTTCTCCTTTCCTCTAAGCAAGTTAGTTCTAGGTGCATTTTTCCGGTCCAGTTACCTGATATTGAAAAACTGTAAACATACGCAACATGGTACTTTTGATTTATATTACTTATAGGCTCCCATTAGACTTGGCATTATTCAGCTTCAATGAATTGATATCTGCTAACGGTAAATAGGGATTTACTTACCAAGAAATTCAGTTTCAGAAAATATTATAATCATATTGATCCGCAAAGATTTTTAGGTTCGACAGAGCACATTAAAGTCTGGATGAAGTTTTTAAGGAAAACTAAGTTTTGAAGAAAATTTTTATAAATATTTCTTTTGGTGGTTCGCTGTAGTTTAAAATCCTCTTAGAGAGACATAGTGTGTGGCGTATGAACAATAAAAATATTAGAATATAATATCGGTCATACGCCAAAGTATCGGTGGATATTAATATTACTAATACGCCCCTATATGCATGCCTTAAAATGCGATTTCCGGAGCCAAATGAAATGATATTTCAAAAAGGTAAATTGAGAGAGGTTCCATAGGAACTCTAGTTTCTAAAAATAGGAAGGTAATTTCGGATTTCAGGATAGGAAAACATTTTGATTGGAGAAAAATAACCTTATATTGGGGGGAAAATATTCATATTATCAAAGGGGGGCGTATAAGTAACAGATATGTCAAAAAATAAATTACTCATCATACGCCCAATTGGCTTTGGTATTAATATTACTAATACGCTCCCATTTATGCTAACTTTAAATTGCAATTTTTGAAGCCAAATGAATTGATATTTCGAAACGGAAAATTGTGAATTTTTGGAGAAATTCTAGTTTTGGAAATTCCATATCTTGTGTGCAAATATTTTATTTGTGTTAAATTTTTCTGTGATTTGGTTTAATTTTGGAGACCTAGGGAAAAAATTGCAACAATTTTTAGATTCTCTTACAATTTTCGTCCCTACGCCTTGTATTCTTGAGTATACTGTGGTCTACCAACCACATGTGGTACTACTCGCGTTACGTCTATTGAAAATAAAGATTTCTAAACTCTAAATTTGAGCACTCAATTGCTTTGTGTTACATTTCTAGGTAAGTTGTTGCTTCTGCTGTCTGTCTGTATCTGTGTGTGTGTGTGTAATTTTTTAAAAAAATATTTTACAAATTATTACAACAACAAAAAAACTATTCATAGCATATTTTCTTATCATTAAATTATCCTTATCAACTAATTTTTGTGGTTTCTTAGTTTTTTACACATACGCCTGACCTCTTGTCCGCGTCTCCTTCCCCTGCAGCTTCTCGACAAAATTACGCCAACTCACCACCGTCTTACTCGAATACAGCCACACACTAGAGGTGACACCCACCAACATTGAACACAAATACTTGACCATATATATTTGAAAAATAGGCCGCGACTCAGACCCGTCGGGCCTTGGTAGGGGACAGGGTATTGAGAAGGGACGGCAAATGTCACGATGCCATTGGACCATCCATTCATCGAAGAAATAATACTCGTAGAAGAGACAACCCAAGTAGCCCAGGGCTGGGAGGATAAAGAGACCCGAGAAGAATCCAATGCGCATCATAAGGCGTTCCAGCTTGTCGGTACGTTTGCCATCCGTCTTCATAACGGTACGTATACGGAAAAGGGATATAAAGCCGGCCAGCAAGAATAGGGCTCCAATCGAGAGATAAATGCACAGAGGTAGGATGAGAAATACCCCTAGAGAGTGGGTGTCCAGTTGGCCGACGAAACAGACGCCCGATAAAATGTCACCTGGAAGGAGAGAAAAAAATTAAAATTAAAAAATTTAAAATTATTAGAAAATTAATTATTAAAAAAAAAATAATAATTAAATAAATAAATAAACATTAATAATAAAATTAAAACAAAAAATTGGGGTTTTTTAAAAATATTTTCGAAGGACCTTTAGAGTCCTTCAAAAAAATTCGATTTTTTAATAATTTTTAAAAGGACAAATTGAGCTATAATATTTAAATAGGTCCCTTAGAGCTTTAAACGTGCAGGTTTGCAAATATTTTCAAAAGAATCTTGAGGTCTACAGGGTGAGATAAAAAAACTGAAACAAAGTCAAACGCCATAATTTTTACATTTTTTTTTAATTTTATCGAAGGACCTTTAGTCACATTTTTTTTTAATTTTATCGAAGGACCTTTAGAGTCCTTCAAAAAAAATCGATTTTTTTAATAACATTTTCAAAGGAACTTTGAGCTATAAAATTTAAATAGGTCTCTTAGAGCTTTACACGTGCAGGTTTGCAAACTCTTTCAAAAAAAACTTGAGGTCTACAGGGTGAGATAAAAAAACTGTAACAATGACAAACGCCAAAATTTTCACTTTTTTTTCAATTTTATCGAAGGACCTTTAGAGTCCTTCAAAAAAAAATCGATTTTTTAATAATATTTTAAAAGGACAAATTAAGCTATAAAATTTTAATAGGTCCCTTAGAGCTTTACACTTGGATATTTCCAAACATTTTCAAAATAATCTTGAGGTCTTCAGGGTGAGATAAAAAAACTGAAACAAAGTCAAACGCCATAATTTTTACATTTTTTTTTTAATTTTATAGAAGGACCTTTACAGTCACATTTTTTTTTTTATTTTATCGAAGGACCTTTAGAGTCCTTCAAAAAAAAATATTTTTTTTAATAATTTTTTTCAAAGGACTTTTGAGTTATCAAATTTAAAGAGGTTTCTTAGAGCTTCACACGTGCAGGTTTGCAAACATTTTCAATAGAATCTTGAGGTCTACAGGGTGAGATAAAAAAACTGAAACAAAGTCAAACGCCATAATTTTTACATTTTTTTTTTTAATTTTATCGAAGGACCTTTAGAGTCCTTCAAAAAAAAATCGAATTTTTTAAACAATATTTTTAAAGGACTTTTGAGCTATCAAATTTAAATAGGTCTCTTAGAGCTTTACACGTGCAGGTTTGCAAACATTTTCAATAGAATCTTGAGGTCTACAGGGTGAGATAAAAAAACTGCAACAAAGTCCAACGCCATAATTTTTAATATTTTTTTTTTATTTATTGACTGAAAGCATAAAATATCGGAAATAGCATCAAATTTCAGAATAAGTTTAGATTTGTTCGAATTGGTCACCTTTGGCACGAATTATGGCCTTCAAACGGCCAATGAAATTGTCACACGCTGCCCGAATGTTGCTCTGCGATATTTTGGCCCTTTCCCGGCGAAGCGCTTTTTTCAGGTGATCGACACTTTGGTATTTTTTAGTGCCAACCTTGCTTTTCCAAAATACTCCAGACACAATAGTCCAACGGATTGGTATCCGGAGATTTTTTGGTAGCCATTGTGTGCTGGAAATGAAGCGAGGAACCTTAATTTTGTAACCATTCTTGGTGGCGCGTGCTGAGTTCGATGGTGCTGTGTCATGTTGGAATGTCCAAGGTCTGCGGCCAAAATGTTTGCGTGCCCAAGACTTTAATACACCCTCCAGAATATTTTGTCGATAATATTCGGCTTTGATTCTGATGCCACGGTCGATTAATATGAGCGTAGAGCGACCATTGGCTATTATGGCGGCCCACACTGCCAGAATGCTGCCCTTAGAACCGCAACAGGGTGTCTCCTCATGGCACCTGTCGATCACCTGCATGAGAAGGCGAAGGTCTTACCTGCTTAGGTGTTATAGACAAAGCCATCCGCATCGCTATATTGTGGATAGGCAACCTCCGCCCAGGCACGTAAGTTAAGACCTTTATGAGAGCCTCTATATCAACAGGCCTATCAAGCGGGACTGAATAGTATTCACTCTAATGCGGTCTCAGGAGTTATTGAAGGATATAGAGTAAATATTGCACTAGGAGACCATCCCCCCCTACCCTTCGCAGCCGAAGAACGAGAGCTGCCCCGACAAACCCGAGTAGTTTTGGCACAATTACGATCCGAATGGTGCAGCCGCCTAAATTCATACTGGGCCCTGAATTAACAGCGACGTGCAGAACGTCTGCCCAGCATGTGGCAAAGACCCATATGACACGCCGCACCTATATCGCTGTCCAGCCAAGCCTACTCACATAACTCCAGTCTCGTTATGAACACAACCCAACCAGATTGCATCCTTTTTGAGACTGGACTTAGAGGCAGAACCAGATTGAATGGACTCAGAAAATAGAAATAGAACGAATACAGCTGTATGAGCTGCTACAACAACAACAACCATGGCCGCCGCTTGAGTTGTGTTGGCCAACCGAAGGTGCACATTTTCAGCTGACCTCTTTGGCAAGTAAACACGATCATTTTGTTTGTTTACAAACTGCTGGACAACGAATGATTTCTCATCGGAGAAAACCAAATTCGGCAGTTCATCACTTTCGGCCAAGCGAAATAAGTCTTTAGCTCTATTTTCTTTCTGTTGCGGTGTAAGTTCTTGCACTGTTTGAAATTTCAATAGCTTTACTCATTTTTCAATATTTGCCGAATGGAATTTTGCGATATGTTTTAGCTCACAAGCCATTTTTCGGCCATTGCTACGCGGGTTTCGATCAAAGTCGCTTCTTTACTTCTGCGAACCATTTTTGCTGATGTAGCTGTTTTCTTCCGTCCACTTCCTTGGCGTCGGGCTACGCTAGGCTGAATGCTACAGCCTAAGGCAGAAAATTGTCATTGCAGGTCCACGTCTCCGTATAGCCCGCATATAACGGTATGTACTTCCCTATTTTCGGTATTTTCGAGATTTAAGCGACATTATTCACCGGAAATGTTTCAAATTTGGTATTTGAAGTTCGTAATGGATATTACAGCCTATAATAGAAAATTGTCATTGCAGGTCGACGTCTTCGTATAGCCCCCATATAACGGTACTTCCCGATATTCGGTATTTCGATGATTTTAGTGACATTATTTACCGGAATTGGTTCAAATTTGGCATTTGAAGTTTGTAATGGACACTACAGCCTATGCCAGAAAATTGTCTGTGCAGGTACATGTCTTCGTATAGCCCTCATAGAACGGTACCTCTCGGTATTCGGTATTTTGAAGATTTTAGCGACTTTTTTCACCGGAATTGTTTCATAGTTGCTATTTGAAGTTCACAATGGATACTACAGCCTATGCCAGAAAATTGTCTGTGCAGGTCCACGTTTTATAACTCCCATGGTAGCTCCCTATATTCGGTATTTTTATGATTTTAGCTACATTATAAACAGATTTTTTTTTTTCAAATTTCGCATTTGAATATTGTAATGGCTTAAGACAAAAGTTACCTTTGCAGGTCCACATCGTCGCATAGACCCCAATATAACGGCTAAAATTTTTAAGATTTTAACAGAATTTTGAACGGATTTTTTTTTTTTTTTTTTGTTGAAAAATGCCAAATTTGTTCCGGATGGTGGAGGGTATTTTAAAATCTGCCCGGCCGATCGTATTTTTTTTTTTTTTTTGTAGAAAAAAAATTATTTCTTGAGGGAGGCCGTAACTTTTTTCCGTTGACAAAAAGTCAAGCTTCCAAGGTTATCAGCCTTTAGTCTCTTCTGCAGATTTTTACAGAAAAATATTTAGAGCCCCCTGATTCCTGACGATTGTTTTCTATATAAGTTTTTTTTTTCTCTGTACAAAAAGAATGCCCCTTATCCTGATTATTTCCACCTCACCTTGGCAGTAGCTTCCTTCCTATTTTTTATAGAAAGGATCTTTGAGGTTGGTCCGTATTTTTTTTTTTTTTTTTTGTAGAAAAAATTTTTTTTTTTGGGGGAGTCCTCGATTTTTTTCTGTAGATAAAAAGTTAGTGCCCAGCTTCCTGCTTCGTCGGTCTTCAGTCTCTACTGAAGATCTTTTTTATAACAAAAAATATTTGAGTCCGCTGGTTGTCAATCTCTACCGAAATTTTTTTACAGAAAAATATTTCGGATTTCTGAGGATTCCTGACGATTGTTTTCTATAAATTTTTTTTTTTCTGTACAAAAAGAATGCCCTTTATTCCCCAGATTATTTCCCCTTTACCATGCCAGTAGCTTTCTTCCTATTTTTTATAGAAAGGATCTTTGAGGTTGGTGCCCATTTTTTTGTAGAGAAAATTTTTTTCTTGGGGTAGTCCTCGATTTTTTCCGTAGATAAAAAGTTAGTGCCCAGCTTCCTGGTTCGCCGGTCTTAAGTCTTAACTGAAGATCTTTTTTATAAAAAAAATATTTGAGTCCGCCGGTTGTCAATCTCTACCGAAATTTTTTACAGAAAAATATTTCGGATTTCTGAGGATATTTTTTTATCGAAGATTTTTTTCTGTAGAAGAAAAATTGCTCCTGAGCCCGTTTCCTTCCCACTATAGAAAGGTGCCCATTTTATTTTTTTTTTTGTAGAAAATTTTTTTTTTTGTTGGGGTAGTCCTCGATTTTTTTTCGTAGATAAAAAGTTAGTGCCCAGCTTCCTGGTTCGCCGGTCTTAAGTCTTAACTGAAGCTCTTTTTTATAAAAAAAAATATTTGAGTCCGCCGGTTATCAATCCCTACCGAAAATTTTTTACAGAAAAATGTTTCGGATTTCTGAGTATATTTTTTTATCGAAGATTTTTTTCTGTAGAAGAAAAATTGCTTCTGAGCTACTTTCCTTCCCACTCTAGTAGCTGTTGTTTTTATTTAATTTTGTCTTCCTTTTTTTATAAATTAGGTCCATCAACTCAATTCCAATCAGCTTGTAATCGCTTTATCTTTGATCGTTTATCAGTAGCTTGATTTGTCGGTCCTGAAAAACAATCTATGGATGTGACTTCCAGTTTGCACCTGCTTAAATTACTAAGGG